TTTATATTGTGTGTTTATACGATTTTCTTGTTTTAAGTACTGATTTTCCCCTCTCTGTGTCTGTTGTTTTATAGTTGAGCCTTCTTTCCAATAGACAATAATAACAACAACAACATGCACAATAATAATAACAATAACATACCCACTATAATCTCATGTACTACGTTTTTGGGAGGGTTTGGAGAGCCTCTTTCCAATAGACAAAATGAGCAGAAAGAAGGTGAAAGATAAAATGGTGACATCAATTGAGCAAGTGACTCCCCGATCATCTCCCTGAGTTCTTTAAGATTTATCACCCTCAAATATGCAACCCCCAACTGGTAATATTTGCTGTTATAATTGTTTGTTATTTCTCCTTAACTGGTAATAAAACGTCGCATTAAGATCCGCTAGTTGAACTTTTAACTTATTCCAACCTTTTTGCTGTTCTTAATCAATTTAAAAACAGAGGTCATTTCATGTAGGTATGTTCTCTTATGGTTTTTGGTTCTTGTCTGAATGTTCACGGTTCATATGGGTCCTTTTAGATGTTGATGAAAATAATACTCAAACTTGCAAATATTTATTTCCTACTACTACTCCTTATAATCTGGTAAGATGGGTGTTTATTATCCTAATAAGCAATCTATATTCTTATAATTGCAGAGAAACTAGGATTAGAGATGGTTTGTAAATATTTAAAGAAGGGCTAAAGATGTATATGTGAAAGGAATGCCAATTTAATACACTTCATTATTGACTGAAGAGTGAATGATGACATAATAAAAGATTTACCTGGTGGTTATGGTCCTAGATATAGAAGACTAGAGTGGACATTATCAGACAATATACTCAAGAAATTAGCACTGGATTAAGACCCAGCTAGGAGTGTACTTCAATTTTTGTTATAGCAATTCTATCTTGTTCTATTGTTTATATTGCACATTTTTCTTCCACCGGAAATCAAAGCGAAGTTATGTTCCGTTTTATCTCTCCTTTGCTTAGAGAATTCCACCGGCCTTTCTCAAGTTTTTCAATGGAGATATTCCTGCGAGCTCTATGCTTCAAGATCTTGCAGGGAGATCTTGGAAGGTTGTTGTGAAAAAGAATGACAATGATTTCTTTTTCATAGGAGGTTGGCCAGACTTTGTGCGGGACAATAATTGGAATTTGGAGAATTTTTAACCTTTTCCTATGCTGGAAATTTGAAGTTTTACGTTAAAATATATGGCAGCTTAAAGCGGGACGTAACTGCCATCAAAGAACCTGAGATACATCCATTGGACGAAGAAATTGTGCATGGTAAGTTTCTTTGAAGATCTTCAGTTTGTAGCTAGTTTGGTGCAACACATCTGTCTTCATGCGTAATGGATCAGGAGACTTGGTTGTCTATGTCCCTTCATTCAACATTGTCATTAAGCCATCCTGTATCCAAAAAAAAGTGCTTGGTAAGTTATTATTTGCTAATTTGCATGTATTCATAAATCCTTAAAACTAATTTTCGAAAATGATTAAATACAATTGCTTTAGTATCAAAGATGCAAAACAGTATCGAAAATTCATGTTTCTAGGATTGACATTTATGTCCAATAATTTCCCAACAAAAGAAACTTTTAAAGAAAATAGAAGCTTCGATATATTCTTGTGAGCTAATTAGTTGAAATTGTTGACCTTTTTTGGAAGATAGAATTGTGTGAAATGTTGTGCAATTTGTTATTGAGCAAAAGGTAAATGTTTCATGAAAAGAGAAGTGATTAGTTCTCCATTAGCTTCCTAAGGAACTGTCAAAATCAATCAGATGATTTATATCATTTACACCTTAAAATTAGACCAAACTGACAAAACGTATAAGTAATTGTATTTTAGTTGATGCACTTTTGTTTTATCTCCATGAAAGCATGTTATGTTCTTGCTCATTCAATAGCGCCCAAAATATAGTTAGAGGGATACAGTTCCATATTCTAATAATCGGCTTATGAATCCTTCTTCTCCAGCTGCAAAGAACCTGTTTTGTGTTCCCTGTAAAGACCCATTTGATATTGATTGGATTTAAGAATAGTTTACACAACTCCCTAGCTATCGTACAATATATAAATAAGTGATTGACTGGTGCTTTATCTTTTTTCACACAAAGAACATCTACTGCATAAGATAAAACCTCTTTTGGCTAGATTATCTTGTGCAAGGCATGCTTCACGCAATGCTATCCAGCCAAAACATTGCCACTCTGGTAGGAACTTTTGCTTTTCACAAACCGCTGCAGAATGAATCTTCATTACCACTTCTAGTAAGAGCTTTGTATCCTTCCCTTACTTTAAAATTTCCACCAGCTTCCCTTTCATAAGTAATGCATCTCGTCCTACATTTGACTACTTCATTCCTCTTGAAATTCCCTTCTAAAATGTTGTGCGATTTTAACTACCTTGTGCTTCCGAGTTTATGGGAATGTAATATTTGAGATCCTCTGAAAGACATCCTCTTTGATTCTTTGTGTTTCTTTGACCTTAATATTTGATGAAGAGAAAATATTTTACCTCCTAAAACATTAAAACTTACTTCAGATGCATATAATTCGCAGAAGATGATAACTCGGTATTTTATGATTATATAGTTGTAACTTTGCATGTCGTCACAATAACATCAGTTGTGTGAATATTATTGGTCAATTGGTATTCTTTTAAGTAGTTGAATATACTTCGAATGGTGATGGAAGTTGTCTTACTGCTTGTTGTAGTGTTTTTAATTCATTGCATTTGATATCGATCACTTGATTATTAAATGTGTATTGTGTTTGAGCATGTGTGTGACCACACATACTTGTGCAGAATGTACCAGCTACTTTTGGCAATAGATACTTGAACAGGGGGCAAGGGCAAAACTTTGAGGCTACTTTTCAAACTGATAGAGGTAGTTGGCCGGTTTCAGTTCACATTTCGGATAGACTTCTACTGCAGACTGGGTTCGGAGAATTTATAGCCGGTAATGCTTTGCGTGAAGGAGATGTTTGCCAATTTAAGCTGATTGATGAGGAGAAATTCATACTGGAAGTTAGCGTTAGAAGACAACTCAAGTAAAGTAAAAATAGAGGCAAATCTCTTTGATCATTTAGCTTAATATCTATCCGGTTCAAATATTTCTACTTGAGAGAAAGAGAGCTGTATGTTTACTAAGCATTGCATAGTGGAATAGAAGGTTGATGTATCGTTAGTTTGATTTACTGAATTTACGTCATTGTATGATATGCTAATTATAAGGCTAGACAATTTTTAGGAAGGATTCTCACACTATATTTCAAAAGAGCTATTAAAAATAAAAACTCTTCCAAGGCACTTACGGTTGCTTGTATCAGAAGTCCTTGTCTTGGCAGAACATAAGACAAATAGTTTTTTTCCTTAAAATGACTTCTAATTGCTGAACCCTAACCAAATATATATGGGAAAAGAAAATGTGGTACATACTTGGACGATTTTATTTTCTTTGATAGAAGAGCCAGTGTACTTTTAAAACATCCTAAAAAAAATTAAAATAAAGTTAGTATGATCATGAATTTACATCAAAGTTAGACATACATCAAAGCCACTCTTCTGTATATATATCCTCATGATCATGAAACCACCAATTTCCTTGCACTTTCAAATATCTGTCAAGACAAATTTTAACCATAGAGATTGCAAACCTCCAAAGCCTCCGTTTTCCATGTTAAGAAATTGGACCATAAATACTATTTATCTGCGTATGCTAAAGGTTTATTATGTTTATGGGATCCATTCAATTTCATTCAGCCGGCTATTATTGTAAATCCTAGTACAAGAGAAACCAGATTTCTTCCTTGCCTAAGTAGTGTTGCTGATCAAGAAGATCTAAAGTTTGTTCCATTTCACAAAGATTTTAAGTGGTGTTATTGTTGTACATTGGGTTTCCACACAGATAAAACAAGGCATAAAATATTGATGACACTACTTTATGATGATCCAAATAAGCCGTCAAGAAATTGGATTTTCACTTTAGAAACGCCAGGTGAATCATGGAGAGAGCTCAAAAGCATACCTTATAATATTAGACCACAAAAGCTAGGAGAAGGAGTTGACATTGATGGAGTTGTCTATTTCTTTAACAATAGCTATAAAAGTAATTATGACACCACTTAAAATCTTTGTGAAATGGAACAACGTAAAATATCATGAGGTAATTTTAAATCACCTACTGGATTCGAAAGTATAGATTCTATAGTCACTTTATTAATCACAATGATATGTATTAGTACTAATTTTGTCGTCTGCAATAAAATTCTAGTTTGTACTTCAGATGTTTTACGGATTTTCGGAGCTTCTCTTTTTCAGAGTGTGAATACATTCTGGTTGATTGCGCTTCTTGGACTTTGATTAAAGACAGGCTTGGTTCGGCTGAAAACTTGGCCCATAACAAATGGACCAAATTGTCAACCTATTGTTGGAAAAAAAAAAAATCAGAAATAGTCAAATTTACAATTGTTAATTGAAAAATAGCCACAGTTTCAAAAGTAATCGAAATTTAGTCACTTTTTCATATAAAGATAAAATCTGAACAAAAACACCCTTAAAAATCCGGAAAAATTCCAGCATAATATGCTGGAGTTTGAATTTTTTACATATGAGATTCCAGCATAATGTGCTGGAGTTCCAACATAATATGCTGGAAGCTTATATACAGAAGCTCCAATGTCCATCATATTATGCTGGAACTTTCCGTATACTGGAGTTCCAACATAATATGATGAAAGTTTATACACAAAAGCTCCATAATCCAGCATACTATGTTGGAACTTTCTGTGTTTCAGCAAAATAGTGGCTATTTTTTAGTGAGTTTGCAAACGTTGGCTATTTTTCAATTACCAGTCCGAAAACTGGCTAGCCCATGCTATTTTTACCCTATTGTTTGGGCAAGAAAATTTAGACCATATATTATGATGTCAATTTCCGCTTAAGCAGTATTGACATACTCATAATAAATAGCATTAGCATATTGGTTAAAAGTTGCGCCGGTGACAAATATTTTTCTATAGATGTCCTTATAGAGATTATGTTGAAATATAAAAATATTACATAAACATTTAAAAAGTTATTATACGGTTGTTACCAAATTCTAAAGATGTATATAAATTATTACTGTCCTGAAGAATGAGTGGTGCTATTCCAAGCTTCAACTCATTCTGCTTCCATCTTCAAAATGGATAGCAAAAGCTCATTCCATGTATCAACAGGACCTGGCATACACCAATGCACACAATCAGCTAATTTCTTCTCATTTGGCCAATGTCCATAATGATTTGGATGCCCATCTGGCCTCAGTAACATGGCTTCACTTGTATCTAACAATCGAAACTTGACACCCCTTTTGTTGCCTTCCCTTTTTGCTGCCTTAAATTCCTCCAATTGAGTCAAATACATTTGTAATGTATATCCATCCAACTTAATATCTTGATTCGTGAAGGGTCTTGTTCTATTGCAATTCCCTCCTTTATTCCATTCCCCATTCTCAAAATGTTGAGGGGAGAATGGTCTTAGTATTACCAATCGACTTTTTAATCTCTTGAGATTTAGAAGTGTCTTGAAAGCTGTACGAAACGCCATTCTGTATCCATAATAATGGCTTAGTTTTGTGGTGTTCTTTTCATTGCATTTGTGACATCCGATGAGCTGACCATTTTCGTAGTACAAAAATGGCCTAAAGAACCATTGTCCTCCGGAGATTATGACAGTATCAGCTTTGTGAACTTGACTTGCCCAGACATCATCGGCCTCGTCTAGATACAGATCCATGAGACTGTTGTATGAATAGCCATTAGGATCAGATTCATAGGATTTAATCAACTGTGGAGACCATAGGGCTATGATTGCGAAGTTGTAATCTTTATACAACCAACGCCTGAATCTCGCGTCCTTAGTCTCTGATACGTCTACAGGAATGGCCGCCTGAAATATGGCGCAAGATATTTTGATCAGAAAGAATGTAGAAATATAAAAAAATAAAAATAAAAAAACTGCTGAGCTTTTGTGAATAAACTTTGATTTTGCCAATTCTCATATCATTATTGGACTAACTTTGTTCTTTCATTAGCATAGTCGACTAAAGTCACAGGGTTTTTTCCACCCTAATTCCTGTTATTCCCTGAACCAGCCAGAAAACTTCCCTCATGCCATTTGACTTGCATAAACGAAACCATCATATTAATGCGACCAATAAGAACAAGTGATTATTTATAGCAGGTCTAATTTGGTAACCTGGAATAGGGAAGGATACGTTCGTTACATTGTTAGTGCATATAAGTTAAATCATTTATAAATTGTCGATTCAACGTGGCTACACCAGTAAAAGAGTATATTGAATAAAGTTTAATGAAAATATAAAGTCAGTAAATGAGGAATTAAATTTAGGATTAGGTGAAAACAGAGTAATGGAAGCACAAAGGGTCCTACTGTTAAGAACAAGACTTACACTAGCTAGCAGGCACACCAGTGACTGCATCTGGTTTCTTGCTAGTGAGTCTCCAACAAAAGCCAAAGTCTTATCACGTACAAGTTCCAAGAATTGCATAGCATCAAAAAGTGGCAGCTCACAATCATCTGGCTTCCATCTCCAGTGTATAAAATCACGATCCGGTCTTCCAAATTTCATGCAATTTTGTCGATCATCGATTGCGCAGTTTGTCTCATTTGTATAGTATGGTCCATTTGGATATGATATCCATTTTCCCACAAAGATGTTGCATGTTTTTTGCTTTTTCCCTACTTTTTCTGAATGATTAATGCTAGTAATTCCAACAGACTGCAGTTGGGTGATTGCCTCATGTTTTTGCTGATCAAAAGGGACTGATTTATTGAGGGTTGTTTCAAGATTTTGCAGCAAAGAATCAGTGGTAGTATTATATGAGGAGAAGGTGATTTTGACTAGGAGTACTAATGTTAAGATTGGTAGAACAACTTTTCTAAAGCTTTCCAACAGCATATAAATGTACTTCCAACGGGGAAGCTCTGCTCCACCACCACCCTTCATCTGCAAGTGACGTTTTCGAAGATCAAAATTTTGTGAGCAATTTATATACTAGCTAGTACTAGGAAAATCAATCATAGAAAAAACTACTGTTACTGTATATGTTTGGAGTTTGGTATTATGGGCTAAATGATTATTATCTTGGTGAATTCTTTCAAACTTGACTAATATTCTGGTTTTTAAATCTAATAAGCAGCATATCATACATGAAGCAAAGTCGCTTATGATAAAAAGGAAAATAAACGTTACCTTATATGGTTCAACAAACAACGAAAATTATTACTAAATCCCTTGAAAGTTGAAGAGTAAAATATTCTCAAAGATTAAAGAATAGTATATATATATCGCAAACCAACACTTCAAGCTAGACAGATATTTTTGCCACTAAGATTTATATAAATGTTTTAAATACTGCCATAGATACACAGTACATTCCATATCTTATGTAAACATGGTTACTAAGCAATCGATCGTCCTAGGTTCACATGAGAGCTCTTACTATCATTAATAAAAGTGATTCAAAAACTTAATTTACTCTGTTGGATAGTTAGAGTTACTCACTTTTAATTAATTGGACAATGATTATGTTGTCCGTTTTCAATAACTTTCAGAGGAAAAAGGTGAAAGAGTTTGTTGGAGACTTAAAACATGGCGTAGCTTGGTGGCAATTAGCTGAATGATGAGGACTTTGCATTGCTTTTATTTCCTTCTTATCTATGCACCATTTTTGCCTTTTTAGTACAAAGTTTCACGTGTGATCCGCCTTTGATAAAAATAGTTTCCTTGAATTTCAAACTTTTATTTACTCTTCGCATACATTGACCAACCACTTGAAAAGCACATACAAATAAAAATCAAGCAAAATTATTATACTCGAGTTAAATTGATTGAATCAGTGAACACGTCATGGCCCAACTCAGTTGAAGTATACTTCGGCAATTTGGATTGAAAAAATGTGTTTTAGTCTAACTTGTCCGTCTTTATTTTCTAACAGATGAAAGCACAGTAACAAACAAAAGTCGAAATTTTAGAAACTAACTTAAAAGAATAAGTAAGAGTTGGAAATTTGTGTTTTTTAAATTCAAATAGTTTTGATTATGATTTATGAACAACCTTGATATTCTCTTGCAGAGTGGACAAAAATACCAATTGAGTGGATTTAGCAATCTCTGGAAATAGTATAGTTCATGAATCATGAGATAGAAGATGAATTTCTTTTTCTTGTCCGTGAGTTTAAAGACAAATTGTATGAAAAGACACAGAGATGATAGATCAAACTAATAATTCATTTTCCCCAAATATGACTATTTCACATATTTAATCTAAAAAGAGAAAACTCAATTAGGTAACAGCTTTTAAAAATAAAATAAAATAAAACTCTAGATTTGAATTTGTAACGCTGCAATTCGAGTTTTAGCCTCATGGCGACTTGCCTTTCGTTGCAGGGGCCTGCTTCTATATCAAGATGACATTAAATTAATTAAATTGACACTAAATTGTGGCATTTTGCAGGCTAAAATTTCCAAGCTAATCTAGATCTCCTACCTAAACTTGTAATGGATCATGAGTACATGTTGGTTGTGTTAGTAAAATCGGTGTTCGAAACCATAAAATCAGAGAAGCAAAAAAACATTAGTTTAATCAACAAAACGTAAAATAATTTCGAGCCTTGTGTCCTTAAGTAATTTAATGCCCTCGCTGTTACTCAAGGTTTTGGATTAATTCTTGCCATGATAGAATGGAATAACTATGCTCTGATAGCGGCACTACAAATCACAGAATTTCAGTGAACTCAACAAACGGAGCAAATCACACTTGATACTTATGTTTATTTAGAAAATAATACAACAAATGCAGAAAAGAGAGAAGTTTTCAGATTTTTCTGTGTATGAAAAATGAGACCAAGCATCTAAATTGATAGACAAAGGAAGGGTGAAATAAAGAAGAGCAATCCAAAATGTGCCTCTTTCCATTCACACTCGTTAGAAAAATCCCAACAGATTGCATATAATGTAACTTGTCATTTATCAAGTTTTAGATTCATTTCTCTAATGATCATATTTTAATTGCGTTTTGAACGAATTGAAAGATTTGTCTTCTACTTCCCTGAATTCGGAACCAACCTATCGACTATAGAGTCCTCAAAAGAATAAATGATCATTAGAAACAAAAATACATAAAAAATCAAAGTACAATAATGTATAGTTTAGCTCTCTCACTGAAGCTTTTCAACTAGGAATCTGGTGCCTTCCATCTTGAACATATGAAACAAGAAATCAGCCCAAGAATCAATAGGACCAGGCAAGCACCAATGAACACAATCATTTACCACATTTTCATTAGGCCAATGCCCATATTTACTTGGGTGACCATCTGGTCTCAACAACATTGCTTGTGTTGTATCCATCAATCTGAATCTCTTCCCCTTCATCTTTCCTTCCTTCTCTGCAACCTTAAACTCTTCAACTTGGATCCTATATTGCTCCAAGCTTTGACCTTCCGACGCAGTCTCATTACTTCTGAATGGCCTTGTCTTTATGCAATCTCCTCCCTTATTCCAGTCCCCGCCTTCATAATGAGAAGGTGCAAAAGTTCTAAGAATCGCTACACCCTTAAAATTTTCTACGTCGTTGATAGCTTTAAGAGCAGTTCTGAATGCCCTTTGGTAGGCATAGTTATGTGGGAGTTCAGTAACATTTGGCAGTCCACAATACCTGCAGCCGACTAGTTGGTTGTTTTCGTAGTAGACACTGCACCGGGCAAACCAGTGGCCGGCGTTTAAGATGATGTAGTCATATCCCCCAATTAGGGTGGTCCACTTCTCATCTGCTTCATCTAGGTAAAGGTTGTAGAGTCCAGTATGGCATGGACCATCTGCATCTGCTTCTTTCGTTGAAACCAAAAATGGTGACCAATTTATTGCTAGGGTGAAGTTGTAAGTTGTGTATTTGTACTTTTTGAAAGATTGATCTGGATTGTCAGAGATATCAACAGGATATTCCACCTAAAAACACAAAAAGAAGTAAAAAAAGCATATCAGTTTTTTTATTACTTCTTGATTTTGTTTTTAGATTAGTCTAGTGCTAACTATGGGACATGAAGTAGAGCGGTGTTTAGCAAAGCATCCGATTGTCCGGAGCAATTCCGGGCTTACTATAAAGAGTTTTATCTAAACCAAAAAATAAGATTAATACAAGAACAATGGTCATGGTTGTTAATGATTTAGTCAAGCTAATCTCAACAAAAACATTTTATGTATTTCTGTATTTCGCCTTAGTTGTATTCGTTGCGCGAACAAATACAATCGATACATGTTGTACCTTTTATACATGTATACAGTCGATATAAGTTGTATCCTTTGTATACACACTTATATTTCGCCTTGTTTACGGTTGATACATATTGTGTTCGTTGCACGAATAAATACAATTGCACGAACGAACACAGTTGATACACGTTTTATTCGTGTGAACGAATACAGTTGACACTAGTTGTATTCGTTGCACGTTTGAATACAAGTGATACAAATTAGTAACAATTGAATAGTAGCTACAAATAGTAATTAGGCAAACTATAGTTACTAGACTCTAAACTAGAGTGATTTATGAAAATTCCTCTATTATACTATTATTGGGAACACAAGAGACTTTCTGACGATTAAGAATTCCTCCTATTGTCTGCTTTTCTTTTCTTGTATAGCACTCCTACTTTGTTATTTTAATTTTTTGAGGGATGATTAATAATGAAATGAGAAAAAACTTTTGAATAAGGGAAAAATCACGGCCTCGGGATGAGCAACTGATATCACTATAGCAAGAAATTTTTCACTTTGTAAGTCCGAGTAAAATACTCCAAAGACCACTACAACACTCAAAAGAAATAACCCTCCTTTGATATTCTCACCTCACTACAATATCGTTTACTCTCTCTATTTTTCTCACAGACTATTTTCTTATATCCTGTCTGTGAAGCTTCACTCTTTCTTTCTCTCTTTGTTGGTGTGTAGAAATGAGAGCCGAAACTCTCCTTTTATAGCCGAAGCCTCACTCTGTGAAGCCTACTATATTTGACAATTTGCACATATTTCTTTTTCTTCAATGTTAACAATTCAACAATGTTGGCTGCCAAACCAAAGAAATTCAACGTCGGCCGCCAAACCAAAGAAATTCTCAGGCAAGTATTTTCCTTAGGCACATGCCTATTATTTTGGCTTTTGAATGAGATGGACTCCATCAATTTTGTCTTTAGATTAGTTTAGCGCTAACTATAGCACATGAATTAGAGCGGTGTTTAGCAAAGCATCGCATTGTCCGGAGCAATTCCGGACTTACTATAAAGAGTTGTATCAAAACCAAAAAAATAAGATTATTTTGGTACCAACCATATTCATTGTTTACTTTTTCAAGTCATATATATAGATTATACATTCATTGTACACAATTATACATACATATATAATACATAAATTGTGAATATATTATAACCTTCACCGACTATTTTTAGTTTAATCAGTTGAGTGGACGACTATTTGGGTTAATTATTCGTATAAGAACCATAATCATGGTTGTTAATGATTTAGTCAAACAAATCTCAAGAGGGGCATAATTATCTTTTTTATGTCTTACATTTCTAAGGAGCAAGTTATGACCCCATTCTCTAACAATTTTTCATGATACATTATTTTAAGGGGAAAAGCTCCATGGATCTAGCTAAATAGTCGTATTATAATATTATTGGGAACACAAGACACTTTCTGAGGATTAACAAGCAATATGACAAATTTCACGCTGGCCCCCGATGTTCCTCCTATTGTCTGCTTTTCTTTTCTCTTGTATAGTACTTTGTTATTTTAATATTTTGAGGGATGATTAATAATGAAATGAGAACAAACTTTTTTGGACTAGATGAAATCATTTCCAAATGACAATGACTTTATTATTATATACTATATTTTAATTTGACAGTGGTTTGTGACTAGACTGGCATCTCCGTTGAGCAGTTGGATGTGCTACGACGTCGTACTCTTTCACATCACATTTTATACTCACGACTCACGAGGTTGTGCTTACTCCAAAGCCCTCTGTGCACCCTTTCCATCGAAAAATCATCAGTGAGTGCAGAACTTTACATTTCCAGTCCTCCATCTTACTGTTAATGGCCATATTTGCCGTTAATCCTATACTTTTTTGTCTCAATTTATATGTCATATTCTTTTAATTATTTTTAAAAAACACATATTTTCTTATTTAAAATAATTTAATTTTAACTTTTTAGTTTTATCATATAAATAATATGTTTCGTTTTAAATCACGAATTCTAAATTTTTATTTACTCTTTTTAAGGTTGTCTCCAATTAAACGTTGTCACATACTCACATTATTAGAGGAGAGGGAGTACATTTTACTATATCTCAGAAGTCACAACTTTATTCTGGAAATTAAAACACTAAAATTTCACCAAAATCTTGGAAAGCTCTAGCCTTAGCCCTTAGGTAGACCAAATCTTCTATTAACCATTATGCATCAACAAGCTAAGCAAAGTGCATCCAACTAGCTAATCCAAACTAGAGTTTTCACCAAACTAAGATAAACTATAAAAGAATATAGTAGAAGCAAATAATTTACCACACACCGACAACTAGATGCGGATTCAGAATTTAAATCTAATGGGTTTAACTTACAAAATTTTTAGTATTAAACTTATTATATTTTTAAAATTATAAATTCATATCTATTATGAATTTTTACATTTAAATTTTTACTCCGCGTCAAAAGTTTTGAATTCAATTAAAACCTAGTAACTACATTCGCCCTGCCAGCAAGTACAGTCTATGCAAATGGAAGAAAATAAAAAGCTTAAACAAAATTAATAAAAATTGCAGAGGAGAGAATGGTACCCGGCCCAGGAGGCAAATCAAGGACTGCATGTGGTTTCTTCCAACTGAGTCACCGACAATTGCCAAAGACTTGTTTCTGACCATATCCAAAAACTGAAACGGGTTAAAAATGGGGAGCTCACATCCACTAGGCTTCCACCTCCACTTCAAGTAATCACTATCAGGTCTACCATACTTCATACAATTTTGGTGCTCATGGATTTCAGAGCAGGTCATATTCGTATAATATGGAGCATCCGGATTCCTAACCCATTCTCCACTGAAAATATCGCAAGTCTTGGGTTCTTTAATCTTTATCTTTCGCTCCTCAGCATGGTATGTGGGTGAAATTTCAGATGGATATTGGGTTACTAAATCTGCTGGGTACCAATTAAAGGGGTGGTAAAGAGGGATAAGACCCAGAACTGTAACTGCTAAAACTATAAGTAGAAATATTCTTGGAGTTCTTTGAGCTGAAGTGGAGTATTTCCCAAAGGGAAGCTCCATTTCTGTGAACTGCTTCAATGGAGAGTTGAAAAGGAAATTAGAGATGGGAGAAAGGAGCAAAGGTAAACTGTTAAAAATACATAGTGCATGTAGTTTTACATCTATGTTGACTCGGTGAATGTGCTAATCCCATTATAAGTACAATTCCCCCTAATTCAACCTTGGTCAGAAAAAGTTCAAAGTTATCTCTAAATCTTACAAAATTAGTCATTTGTACCTTCCGTAAAACATTTAAGCATATTAATCCAAAAGTTTAAAATACTATAAAAAGTCCCCACAGCCTAGAACTACTCATTTGTTATAAATGACTTTTAGCTCTCTGTCACGCTTCTGCGGATTTGTGAAATTCTAGGCAGCGAATGGGTTGAAGGAGAAAATGTGGTGGTACAATATGCAATGGTGGTGGTACTAGAAATAGAGGGAGGAAAATTGTCGGTGGGTTGGGTGTCTCATAAATACCACTAGTGTTGTAAAACACTTATTTGGCATAACGTGTGGTGACTGATTAGTTGTCTCCGGTAGAAAGTAGAAAGTTTGAGATTAAGGTGAACCAAACGCTGAAATTTGATGGGCAAAATACAAAATTGGTCAAACTGGAATCATAGTGCAGTCTTGATCAATAGCTGCAGCAAGCAACCATATATACTCTTTGGTCAATGGGGAGAAATATCATTAGCTCTATAAAATGCAACAAGGCTTTTCTTTTTTTCACTTTTCTAGCAGTGCTATGGTTACATCTTCACATCAACCATAACTATCCAAGAAACAGAGTTCCTCTTTAAATCACAACAACAATCCTAGAATAAATTGAACAAATAAAAAATCAGAGTACATTGTATTGTTTAGCTCCTCATTGAAGCTTTTCCTCTAGGGATCTGGTGCCCTCCATCTTGAACATATGAAACAAGAAATCAGCCCAAGAATCAATAGGACCAGGCAAGCACCAATGAACACAGTCATTGTACAATACCACATTCGCATTTGGCCAATGCCCATATTTACTTGGATGACCATCTGGTCTCATTAACATTGCTTGTGTTGTGTCCATCAATCTGAATCTCTTCCCCTTCGTCTTCCCTTCTTTCTCTGCAGCCTTAAACTCTTCAACTTGGATCTGGTATTGCTCCAAGCTTTGACCTTCCAATGCGGTCTCATTACTTCTGAACGGCCTTGTCCTTACACAATCCCCTCCACTATTCCAGTCCCCACCTTCAAAATGAGAAGGTGCAAAAGTCCTAAGAATCGCCACACCCTTAAAATTTTCTAAGTCGTTGATGGCTTTAAGAGCAGTTCGGAATGCCCTTTGGTACGCATAGTTAAGTGGGAGTGCAGTGACATTTGGCAGTCCACAGTACCTGCAGCCAACTCGTTGTTTGTTCTCGTAGTAGACGCTAATCCGGGCAAACCAGTGGCCAGCGTTTAAGATGACATAGTCGTATCCTTCAATTTCGTTGGTCCATTTTTCGTCTGCTTCATCAAGGTAAAGGTTGAAGACTCCAGTATGGCTTGGACCATCTGCATCTGCTTCTTTAGTTGACACCAAAAATGGTGACCAATATGTTGATAATGTAAAGTTGTAAGTTTTGTATCTTAACTTTTTGAAAGCTTGATCTGGATTATCAGATATATCCTCAGGATATTCCACCTAAAAGAAAGAAAAGAAGATCAAAATTTGTATTACTTCGTTGATCATTCTCACTTTGATTTGTTTTTAGATTAGTTTAACACTAATTATGGTACTTACAGTAGCATGTGAGGTGTTTAACAAGAATCAAGTTGTTCCTAAAATATTCTCGGGTTTGCTATAAGGAGTAGTAATAAAATATAAGAGGCATGGTCATAGTTGTTAATGATATAGTCAAACAAATCTCTAGAAGGGCACAATTATCTTTTTATGTCTTGACATTTCTAAGAAGCAAGTTATGATCCCGCTTTACCCGGCTTGGATTCTCTAATAATTTGTCACCATACATTTTCTTAAGATATACTTTAATGGGAAAAGCTCTTTGGATCTAGCTAAATAGTCGTACTATAATATTGGGGACAAAAGCGACCTTCGGAGGATTAAAATTCAATATGTCAAATTTCACGCTGTCACTCAATGTTCTTCTCAGTCTCTGCTCTTCTTTTCTTGTAACCTTTTTTATCTTTCGATGGAGAATGAATTAAAGAATGAGAAAGAAACTTTATTAGACTAGAGGAACCAACTTTCAAAAAGAGAATGACTATATTCTTAAAAATTTCGTTTTTACCACACAAAAAAAAGGGTAGAAAAATTCAAAAGCATAGTTTCAATAATTTGTACTAGTTAAATGGTTAATATATTCTAATTTGATGATATGGATTATGACTAGATTGGCATCCACTTTGAACATTTAGATGTGATTAACCGACGTCGTAACGTGCCCTATCTATCACATTTTATACTCACGAGATTGTGATTACTCCATACTCCATAGCCCCCCTATGCTCCTTTCCCTTCCAAAATTTATCAATGAGTACAAAACTTTACATTTCCAGTCCTCCATTTTACTTTTAATAATCATTTTCCCCATTAATCCTATACTCCATTTTACTACCTTTTACAACTTCATTCTGGAAAATAATACGCGCGTTGACCCATCAATGGCGTCTTCCGCGAAATTTACACCTAAATCTTGAAAATTTCTAGCCTTAGATAGACAAATCCTCAATTAATCCTAAATTATGAACTCAACAAGCTAAGTACATCCTAGTTACTCATCCAAGCTAGAAGCAGTAATTCATCGCAGATCGGCAAGCACTATCTATGCAAATGGAAGTAAAATTAAGAAAAACTTTAACCAAAATTAAGATGAATTGCAGAGAAGAAAATGGTACCCGGCCCAAGAGGCAAATCAAGGACTGCATTTGATTTCTTCCAACTGAATCACCAACAAGTGCCAAAGACTTGTTTCTAACCATATCTAAAAACTGAAAAGGGTTGAAAATGGGGAGCTCACATCCATTAGGCTTCCACCTCCACTTCAAGTAATCAGAATCCGGTCTTCCATACTTCATACAATTTTGGTGCTCATGGATCGCAAAACAAGTCATATTCGTATAATATGGAGCATCCGGATTCCAAACCCATTCTCCACTGAAAATATCGCATGTTTCTGGCTCTTTAATCTTTATTTTCTGCTCTTCAGCATGGTATGTGGGTGATATTTCAGATGGATATTGGGTTACTAAATCTGCTGGGTACCAATTCAATGGGTGGTAAAGAGGGATAAGACCCAGAACTATAACTGCTAAAACTAAAAGTATGAATATTCTTGGGGTTCTTTGAGTTGAAGTGGAGTATTTCCCAAAGGGAAGCTCCATTTGTGGGAGCTTTCTTCAATGGAGGGTTTAAAAGGAAAGTATAGATGGGAGAAAGGAGCAGAAAAGTATAAGATGTTTAAAATACGTAGTGGATGTAATTAAAGGGGGACCAGTTGGCACATGTATGTTGACTCTGCAAACGCGCTAGTCCTATATTATAAGCTTAATTTTTCTTGGTATTAAGTACTAATTCCACCTTAGTTAACACTTAACAGCCATGTTTTGGATCTTAATCACTGCAGATCCATGATTTAAAAACCAATAAGTACAATTTAATTATAGCACACGTATATATGTGTATAATTCACTGTCTCTAGACTATAGAGGACATTCTTTTAAGGAAAAGACTCAAATTTATTCTGATATTCGTAAAATTAGTTATTCATAACCTTCGTTAAATAATTAAATGTACTGATCTAAAAGTTTAAAATAGTAAAAAATTCTTACATCCTAAAACTACTCATATGTTACAAATGACTTTTAGCTCTCTGTCACGAAGCTTCTGCTGATATGTGAAACCTAGGCAGAGACATTAGAGGGAAAAAAAAACTAGACGGAGAATGGGAGGAAGGAGAAATGTGGTGGTACAATATGCAATGGCGTTGGTACTAGAATAAGGAGTGGAATCTTGTCGGTGAGTTTAGGTGGCTCATATGTGCCACTAGTGTTCTAAATCAATTTGGAATAATGAGTGGTGGCTGATTAGTTGTCGCCAGTAGATGGGTAATTGAGGACACGTTTGTATAATACATTTTTTTGTCCCATCACATACAAAAAAGAAAAAGAAAAATACTAGACAATATTATAATGGATTTAATTTTTATGTATAGTGCATGGGTCAAAATCCGCCCTTAGAATATTCAGGGCGATGTAGCATCACACGAAGAATCCTCAAACTGTCACTTATTAAGATGGTCCGAGAAGCCATAAGGCCCGCGATCGAAGAGTTGATGAAAGTCGTAGTCAAGATGTCAACAAGGAATCAAGGATTGATGTCGAAGTCGAGGTCGAGTACGTTCAATAGAACTGTAACTGCTAGTTTTCAAGATAGGATATCAAAGAAAATATTCCTTTTGGTATTCTCTGCACTTGTACTTTTAGAGGTTTCTTGGAAGTATGTCACATATAAATAGAATAAGAAACAATGATAGGGGGACATTCATTTGTGAGAAAAGCACTTTGACAAAAGGATTCGGTCTTCACTCGATACAAAGATCTACTTTTCACTGAAATTCTTATCTACACTTTACCATTAGATCCGAGAAATTCTCGATTATTCAAGGATTTGTCTTTCAATCATTGTCAAGCGGAAGGTTCATTTATTCCACTTTTTATTGATTGAATCATTCCCCTTATCTACTTAAATGGCATTTATTATTGCACATCAAATATTATATGTTACACCACTGTTCTTGATTTTTCAGGGCATTTATCACGTGGTTCCTTTACTATCCGCTTGAACACCTATCAATTGCTTCTTCTTTTTTTAATATTAAGATCTAAGGATATTATTATTAACTAGGATTAACCTTTGTTTATATAAATTTAATTATTTGAACCAAGATTTATATTTTTAGTCAAACAATTTTACGTCGTCTATGGGGATTTCTTAGTTAAATGTTTAGTTTCCGCTAGATCCACAACTAACACGAGTCACTAATGTACAAAACCCAAGATCTCCTTTCTTAGTATATACAAAACCCTACATGGAAGGTAACCGAGAAGAAAGGACGAGAATAACAAGTGACCTCTCAACCAACCTCATGAACGCCATCAATGAAAGCATATATTAGGACGGCATCAACCATATATCAGGACAGTCGCCGCGCCCTCCCCCCGCTACGAAGAAGGTCCATCCGGACCAAGGGCGGGAACTCATCGGAATGATAAAGGTATGCCCCCTATTATCTGCTCACAATTTTGTGTGTCACCAACAGATATAGTCTACGCCCTGGGGAAGCTCGGGCCAAAAGTGAAGTGGCCGCCAAAGATGAGATCTGACCCTAATACCATAAAATCTGACGCCCTCTATGAGTTCCACCAGGAACGAGGGCACAAAACTGAAGATTGCATCGCCCTAAGGCAAGAAGTTGTTAACATGTTACGACAAGGACACCTTAAAGAGCTACTAAGCAATAGGGGAAGAACCAATTTTGCCAGAGGACGCGAACATCAAGGGCCGCCTAAGCCACCCTCACCAGCGCGTACCA